GTATACCGAGAAGGAACAAGGAAGTGGAACTCTAACCCGGTTTCTTTATTTAACACTTCAAAGAATGATAATATCAGCCACACCCACAAATTATATATTCTTTTTTCTTTCAAAGAGATATAAATATTTAATTTATTCTGTTTTAACGGACACCATAAGGGGCAGAATGCCTCGAGGCCCCAAGAAATGAACCTCCACTTACGAGGCTCCATAAACACGCTACTGAAAAAGTTAAGTAAAAAATAATACAGATTCATGACACACTTTTTCGTAAGTTAATAAAAACTCGAGACAATTAATTTTGTTCTAAAAATATGTACATATACAGCAGCCCACTTCTTAATTGCCCTCGTGCCTTGAAGTCGGGCCCTGCGTATTTGATACTAGCTAATTATTTGTAGAAACTTCAATGAAATTACAATATATATGTTTGTATTATATAAGTAGGTATACTAGCTTCCGCCCGCTTCGTACGCGTATAAAATTATGTATCCAGGGATTTTAAACACATCAGCGGTTAAGGCGATAAGCTCGACTAAAATACGCAAATCAAGTATAACTTTTAACTTATAGAACATTAAATCTATCAAATCAAATCAATTTATTTGTAAACACAGGTAATACATAAGCGTGTTAAAATATACATTAATAGCATCTTCATGTTCTACCAATAAAATTGGTGTACAAATAGTTTTTAAGTTGGGCAAGTAGCAAGCATTATTAATAAATTTAAATAAGTATAAAAGAATCATCATAGTATGTCAAAATTTATCATTTAATAATAGGTCAATAGAATAATATGTCTTCTCAATTAAAAATAATGTCAGTTTTCGTTTAAAAAGTCGAATATTATTTTCGTTTTTTATACATTTAGGCAGTTTATTATAAATTCATCTATCAATGAAAGAATTTTGGAAATCCATGCAGCAGTTTCAAAGGTAGGACATCTTTGAAACTGCTGCCTGGTTGGATGCCCTACATACAAACTTACAAATTTCTCTATATAATATTAGTATATAGGTATACATGTTTTTTTTCATTATTCAAACAAGAACGTGTAATGTTTCTTGGTAAAATAAATAGGGCTTTAATTTTAATACCAAAAAGGTTGAGTTTAGGTGTAGGTACTTTTGATAGCTTTTTTTATTAAAACACTGTTCATTTCTTTCATTTTTAAATTGATTAAAATCATGGTGTGTTTGTATGTACTTATATGATTCATGAGTTTCAGGTACCTATATTCCTAAGCGGCTGCAACAATATTAATGTTTTCAAGCATTCTTTGGCGTTAATCTACAACTGAAACAAAATCTGCAAACTTAATATCTTATTTTATTAGTGAACATTATTAATTAAAAAGGGTGAAAGTGTAAAAAGTATTTTCTGGAAAATTCCAACATCGAAACAACACTAACCTTACAAGCTCAAAACCAAACCAAACTGGTTAGAATTGAACAAAAATAGCTATAAAATAAGACGAAAGGAGAAAACTTATAAGGTACATACATACTTACCTTGAAGCCAGCGCCCACGCAACGAATACACAATAACATAGACTTATACCTACATACATTGGAGTTGTTTACCGTCGGAGAGCTCAATATTAAGTATGATAATCAACTCGCCAAATGTTATAATAACATTTAGTGAAATATAACAAAACGCGAGAACCTTTGTAGCGAATTAATTAATGCTCAACGAGCTGATAATTTGTGTTCACTTTAGCGGGATCCAAAACTTTGAAGCTTGGGGTGTTCGGAGATCTAATCGCGTGGTAGACATCTATGTATCTTTTTGTAAACATGCGTTCATATTAAGATTTTATAGCTAATGTCGTATTAAGATTATGTTAGCTTATTTAATATAGGTAATGTCTATACATTTCGTACCTATACATATGTTTTTATGTGATACCTAGGTCGGTAAACAAGCAACCGGATTACCTGATGGTTAGCAATCAAGACCGCCAATGGACACCCGCAACAACAGAGGAGTTACGAGTGCGTTGCCGACCTTTTGGGGATTAGAGATCTGGAGATTTAGGGATTAGGGGAGGGGAAGGACTGGGTCTTCGGTAACCTCAATCACACGGCGAAACACAACCTTGTGGTTGTTTCACTCCGGTTTTCTGTGAGGCCGTGGTATCCCTCCGGTCGAACCGACCCATTCGTGAAGCTTAGCAGTCCCACACTTAAACTTAAATATAATTAAGCTGTTGAATTTACCATTAATTATTACTTCAAAAGAACTAGAAGACATTTAAAGAATTTGTACCTAATTTGTACCCGTACACAGTCCATACACATTATCTATGTAGATAATATTTCTACGTATTATATTATTACTTTGCCCAAAAACTTTATTCTTTTGTTTCTTAATAAATTCATTGTACCTACCGCTACCAAAATTATATAAAACTAAACTTAAAAAAATAATAAGACAAAGATTATTTGTCTAATGGTAAAATTCAGAATAGAAACGAAAGAAGGTTTGATTAAACGACACCATTTACTTATTTTAATTGGCTGTTCAGCACAGATTTCGCTGATACAACTTTGAATGAAGTAATTAATAGTTACCTACAGAAAATTAAACAAAAATATTTGTCAGTCATTCATCATTTGGAGTTGAACGTAAATTGTCGGAGCACCATCCGCTTCCAATTAACTTTCCACATTTCATTCTATATTATTTATCCTATAATTACTTTTAGGGCATTCATTCATATTTAAACAAATATGTTACCCACATTTCTGAAAGTATCTTTTTTTATGTGATTAGGACGACAAAGGAGCGGACCGATTACCTGATGGTAAGCAATTAGCGCCGCCCATGGAAACCCGCAAGAACGGAAGAGTAACGAGAGAGTTGCCTACCTTTGGGGATTAGGGTTTTGGAAGTTTTGGAATTGGGGAGAGATCAGGGGAGGGGAAGGATTTGGCCTCCGTTAACTTCACTCATACGGCGAAACACAACGCTGTGGTTGTTTCACGCTCGTATTCTATCAAGCAATTGTAACAGTTGAAAAATCCAAACGAGTACAGTGACGAATATTAATTTTAAAAACTAAATTGCTAATAAAATTTCATAGGCGCTAACATGCAATAAAAAAACGCCTATCAAAAAACTAATAGCAAAATTATGCACCCCGTACCTTTACCATAAACAAAATAAAATAAAACAAATAATCTAAACGGAAACGTATCCAAATAAAATTTAGGGGTGCGAAAACCTTTCACTTACACGAACCGTCTCGAAAAAAAAAACAATTTTATGTGATTTAACCTCTTTACATGACTGTCATACGAGCTGTTTTGATTTCTGGACACGTTTTCACTAAGAGGTATAGCGCCTGATCTTTTGATACGAGCAGTATGATACAAAACAAAGTTTCGTTACCTATCTATTTCAAAACTGATCAACGCGGAGTTCATATTTTAAGGTGACGCAATAACATTAAAATTGTCATTTGCATTCGTTATCCTTGCATTACTTAGTACTTGTTCTAAGAAAGAGACAAAATTATTTCCTTCATCTCTTTCCCTACCTCCCAAATCCCTAAATCCCCGAAACCCTAATCCCCAAAATGCCTACAACGCACTCGTAACTCCTCTGGTGTTACTGTCTGGGTGTCCATGGGCGAAACTTATTAATTACTATCAGGTAAGCAATCTGCATGTATGATGCCACATCACATAAAAAAGATAGTGCTTGTTTTTTTACCCCGTAGAGTAAAGGACTCGATTCTAATATAGTACTATCCCTAATGAACTCTCTCTCCCGAAATAGGTTTGCTACATGTGTACACACCTATGTATATATCTATAAAAATCAAACAATTTAGACACCTAGCAATAATTCAATCCTCAACATAACTCATTCATAAACAGGAACTTTTAAGGACAAACAACAAAAACACAGTCAAAATTTTTATCATAATTTATTGTCTTAAAATTATTAAAATAAATAAATTAAGATAAGGTTGGTTAAGCCAGCGACCAGCCGCGACAAGTGCTTGGGAAATTCATTTAAATCCCCAAAGCCGGGAGAAGTCTAATTGGCTTCCGCGTCGAAACAAAATTTATAAAATAAACACAATTTCCCGCCATAACTTTATGACTGTTGAATGGAGTTATCGACGCAAACTGCAAGTTCTTAACAAACTAAAGTGAACAAATAAAAGTATCCATGTTTCGCGACTTATTCAAACTATTCCTGGTTCTGTTTGTGTTAAAATACAGAGACATTTATAGACTTATTTATATTAATGAACTTAAATCGTTGCTTATTTTATTAAACATAGATTATATTAATCTAATCGATGCGATACAGTCTTGTACACGATTTTAGGCAATGTTACGCTTAATAATCTCATTTTTATTGTTCTTTTTGATAGATTACCGTTTAATTGATAGTTTTTTGAATGTATCCAATTAAACGCGCATCTATAAATCAAACACATTATTTATAACCGTAAATGTCTAGCCTAACATCACAATAATCCTATCCACTTACAAACTAAAGACAAGAAAACATTGGCGTATTATGTTGCTTCATAACAAAATACGACAATATTGTTCAGTAACCTAAAACTTCGTAAATACGACCATTATTATGATTCATTGCGTAAAGGAAAGATACCATTTTATCAAAATCCACCCAACAGGCTGACCACACAAAGGTTTATTAGCGGCCTTTTGTGTTCCCATACAGATGACTAATATTTTTATAGTACCGAGTTAATAGGGTAAATAATGGTAGCTTTATGAAGCTAACAAAATTTGGTGTTGGAAAACAGACGTTGAATTTACAGACGTTAAGGAATAATTTGCAGCGTAGTTGTATGGGGTGTGAATGATCATTTGCTAATTGCTTCTGTAAGACGGCCGTCTTAGTTCTACATGCATTCCCATTCACCAGTGTCAATCAGTTTGCAAGCCACAGCCCCGCCACAATTAATCAGCTGTCTTGCAAGGAGAATGCGATTTCGATCAAACGGTATCTTTGCAATGACCAGTAAAGCGCCCTATTCACGCACGATTTGTCTAGGGCTCACAGTCTTGACGGTCAGCGTTGTCGGGCCAGTCGCAAACGTTTAGTTTGGTGTTGAACATTGTTCCTGGTTGGCAAGTGAACTGCATTCCTTTACCGTTGACGCAGCGCCAGTACTGTAAAAAGCGACATATTGCTGATTTTAATGACTCATTTATGAATAGCATATTTAGAAAATAATTTTTGCATTATTTCTACTTTACCATGTTGCATTTCTTCTTATCAGGGACGTAATCTTCTTCAGAGTTGCAGACATCGTGGTCGTCGATTTCATTCTCCTGCGTCAAATAATAGTAAAAGTTAAAAACCCCTTATCAAATATATTACTCAGAAATCATAAAAATAAAATCTTACAGCAGGTGATTCCGGTACTTCCGGGGCTTCCGGAGCTACTGGTGCCTCGGGAGCTTTTGGTGGTTCAGGTCTCACGGCAATATCATTTTCATCATCTTCGATAATGACTTGAGGCTTGGTTGTGGTCGGCTTCTTCGTGGGCCTGCTGGTCTTAGTGGTAGTGGACGGCCTTGCAGTCGTCACGATCGGCTCTCCCTCGGACGGGTCGGACGTCGTTGACGGCGGGCGCGCCCATTCAGGCTGAGATTTATATCAATATGAATAATAGACCATCCATTTGTTTCTGTTGCGATTAATCGCGCATATCTACTTCGTTCAAACGTCGGGAAAGTTTATTAGTCAGTTGTATTTATGGTTTCCAGTTAGGAAAAGTGAAAGGATAGGAGTCACAATTTATGTTGACGTATGGTTTACGAATATTCGAATGTGGATAACTTTTTACTTTTCATGAGTAACCTAGTAACACAATGCAGTCTGGAAATTTTATATAACTTTGCTAATGTAAAACTATTAAAACTGACTTACCGTATTAAAACTGACTTACCGTAGGAGTGGTATTCCCAGAGCGAGGAGGTGGAACAGTGTAAGTGCTCATATGTTTGTGCAAAAGCTTGATCAGAGGGTTTTCATCGCCACAGAGACCTTTGAAGTCGTCCATGTCGATAGCCCAGGTCATGGCACCGAGGTATCCCTTCTCCTTGATCCAGTTCATTTTGATCTCGACACTACGAGGGTCCTCGTAACCGACCCATTGGGTTCCTTTGTAAGCGTAGGGGCACTTGCCATGCTCGTCCCATTTCTTGGTCCATCCTGAACCTTCTTTGTCAACTTCGGTACAGATCTGAAGAAAAGAAAATGGAAAGGTTTGTTATAATATAAATGAATGTATAAGTGAATGCATCCTCCATACAGGAGCAAAACCTAGTATTTTTTAAGAAGAGAATGTGATAATTCATAATTTCTTATTCTTTACCTCATAGTAAGCCCAGAATCCAGTAGCGTTGGTGTAAGGAGCAGGGTCACCGCCTCCAGCCTCCTTGTTAATATAAGTACCAAGGCCGTAGTTGTTGTTACCAGCCGACAGAGTGAACGAACGGCCGTAGAATGGAATACCGACAACCAGCTTATTGCTAGGACAGCCCTTCTCCTCCCAGAGAGCTAGACCATCGTTCTGGAAGAAAATGTAAATATATAATCAGCTTTCTCAACCAGAGCCAGAGGAAAGAGAGCCGAGTCAAGTTTATTATAAACATATCAGTAGGATTTTTTGATCATTGCAGTTCTAACTTTAAGGAGACTTTTCACATTAAGGAGATGGTTTGTCTTGCTTCAAAAAGCATTCTAAATACATTTTTGTCATACTTACAACATTAAGTTTCTCATAAGCCCATTGGTCATGAGGGCGTTTGAACAATGGTGAATGCACGTCAGCAAATCCAGCCCAGTTTCCTCTCAGATCGTAAGACATCACATGTATAGCATCCAGCTCCCTGCAACACACGTAAATCTAAGTTTCTAGCAACTTCTAAACTTTCCTAGAACAATATTTGTTCTCTTTTCGTTTCTTCCTCCAAGTTCCCACCGTTATTTATGAAGCTCTAACTTGGCAACGATAAAACTGTTCCAAACTATTAAACTGTTTCAAGATTTTCGCTTTTGCAAAATTTCTAGTGAAATGTTTTAGAAACGAAGATTTTTGAAATACCTAATGATGAACCAACGTATTTAACATTTAAAAAAGGAACGAAGTGGTCTTGTTTGTTTTTCTCTAGGTATGGAATATGGACTTTAAAAACAAGCAATTTCATTTTTATGTCAAGTTTTGAGAATGATCCTACTTACTGGCAAAGATCGGGTACGTGGTAACCTTCCATCAGTCTGAAGTTGGCGAGTGGCACAGCAGCAGTTAATTCCCAGCCTCTCTTTTCTCTGATGAATGCTCTCCTAAGCTCCTGGACGAGGAAGAGGAACCGATCCTTGTCAGAGAAGGAACCACCACGGTCAGCAGCACCGGGGTACTCCCAGTCCAGATCCAAACCATCGAAGTCGTATTTCTTCAGGAAATCTAATAAAAAAAATACTTTTTTGAACTAGGTCCGCTATAAAATTATCAACTGCAAAAAATTCTATAATTTATGAGTACTTTTATAAAGTAAGCTTTTAGACTGCAAAATACAAAACCAATGGTAAAACAGTGCCCAATTTTTATTCATTCGACGATATACATATAATGAAAAAATATAAAGAGAAAAAGTATCTTTTAATAGACGTTTGAATCTCTCATATCCTTCAGTTTAAGATAACAAACACTCCCACAAAACTAATTATGAAGTCAAAGCGAGACCTTAATTCAAAACTAAGACTGTCTAGACGAAAAACGGTAACTTTATACAAGCATTACGTTGGAGTTAAAGAAACCATCTCCCACTACGATATGTATATTAAAACAAATATCAAATTTATACACTCGACATTCTGAAATATTGATATTATTTATTTGTTTGCGTAGTTTTGGGAGATGTTACCCAAAAATGGAAAAATAGATTGAATGCCCTCCCTTAAAACGATTTTTGTCTTGGCTATTTAAGAAGACAATTTCTGTAAATGTTAGGATCGTTTCAAAGCTCCTCTGAGGTAACCACTTCCATCACATATGTACAAATACATTGATCCATGGCCATGTTAACTTGGTTTCCTTATTGATGTCGACACGGAACAAACACCAAATTTCTTGATCATTTTGTAAACAATATTTCCTAATACTTTTACACATTTTGCTCGTTGTAATTCTCGTAGTTTGCCACAGAAATGTCCGTTCCACAAACAAATTCCAAGCTTTTGTGATTTCTTTTATTTTCCTTGTGGGAGTATCTTTGCGAAACTACGTTAACAACAGAATAAGGAATGTTCCCATCGTATGAGGAAATATATATTTCGTTGCCACGACACAACAGCGCATAATTTACGACAATACTGTGACTCGACACTTGATACATTTTGTTTTATAAACATCCCTGTTTTGTGTTTATGGAAAGACTTTTTCTTGTCACATAATAGTAAACGCATAACCCTATTGTGAGAAATATTTTTATGATGTTTATACTAATTCTCAGTCAAATCTTAGTGCATTTCGGTGAGAACTGACTTTTCCTAGATTTTCTTTATTTTTATGTCATTTTTTTATGATAGGTTGGCAAACGAGAAAACGATATAGACGTCGTGGTGGCCCGGAGGCTAAAACGCCCGCTTTTCATGCATGAGGGTGCGGGTTCGAAACCTGGCAAGTACCAATGTGACTTTTTCCGAGTTACTGACATACGGTGAAGGTAAACATCGTGAGGAAACCTGGACTTATAATTTCTAATTATAAGTTTGAAAGTGCCAAACCGCATTGAGCAAGCATGGTGAATAATGCTCAAACCTTCTCCATGTGAGAAGAGGCCTTTGTTCAGTAGTGGGCAGAGAGCAGCATGGTAAGCAATCAGCGCCGTCCTTGAACGCTTTTAATACCAAAGAAGTTACTACAAATGCGTTGCCGGCCTCTTCTGGATTATTAGGGATTAAAGTAAAGGAAGAGTTTAACCTCCAGTACTATTCAAATGTTTTGTTCCTACTCACCAACAACGCTCCTAACGAAGGCCATTCGTGTTTGTTTCTGTGCGACCATGTGGGAGTATTTTGATCCTCCCTCGGCCCAGCCACCCACAGCCACCGTGAACTTGACATCAGGATGAGATTTGCGGAGAGCTGTGAAGTTTTTGAAGCCATTCTTGTCTACATCCAACTGTAAGAGATAGTGTTAATTTCATTTAGAAAAGGAAAAAAAAAATATTTGTGACATAACTTTAATACCCAAAGGTATAAGCAGAAATGCATGTTAATACTGGATAACACTTAATTTTTACCTAATAAGTAATGACTCTTACGTACTAGAGAGTGAGTTTACTATCACTACTCTCTTGATAAAATTTCAGACCCTAAGCTATCAGTGTCCAATTTGAGAAATTGTCTCAATAGTGCTTGCCTCGTAATAATCTAATATTTCCCATTGTAGATCACTATCCTTCGAATGTCCTGGGAATAATGTTCCACCTAAACGAACATTCACATAGACATCCTGGGGCAAATCCCATGGCATGCGACTATATCTATCGCTTAATGAATTTCACCATCCATCATGGAATATTCATGGCAAGTTCTCAGCGCGTACTAATGTTATATTAATAAATAAATGTCTTGGAGACATGGTGGAGGATTCCCCTTCCCCTGATTTTCATATTTAACGATAATATGTATTAAGTTATTAGGAGCTCCTATTCTGTACTTCTTAAACGTCAATTTCGTATGATATTTTTTTAGTTGATATTAAAGTGACAAAAATATGAAGAATCTGCAAAATCCTCCATAAAATAAATGTTACATACCTCAGGATCAATAATGAGGACTTCATTGGACTTCTCGGTGACTCCAATGAAAGAGTAGATAATATGAGTACAGAGATCCACGGGGATATCTTCAATGCCGTAGCGACCCACACCAGGTCGATACACCGCCCAGTTGCTGAAGTAGCATACTATGCGCGCTTTGCTGTCCGCTAAATAGAAAAAAAAGAAAATAACATTATAATTAGAATTTATTGTCCTTCTATTTTCAAAAATTCAAATTTGGAAAAAGCTTTTAAAGTCCTTTCATCTTAGCATAGAGAATAGACGAAGAGTGTTACAAGCATATTACGGACCAAAAAGTTACATATCTCTTTGCATACATCGCCATAAAAACAAAAATTGGCACCTTATCAAAACCGAAGTATTATGGCCGAAATTGTTAAATATCTTTTTAAATACGTCACTATCAAAACTGGAACGTAATCAAAAGAGTCCAATCATAACTCTACAAAAAAAATTGAAAGATTTATGTGTGAACAGCTGTTGTCCTAAACCTATGTCTAAATAAGTCAAACAAATCCTCCTAGTTTACTATCTCAACAGATAGATGAGCGATAAGTTTGTGCGATAGTCAGAACACAAGATAACCTCGGTTAAACCCCAACTTGGCCCGCAGTTAACCAGGAGATTGATTTACGTTGTCTCACCCTTTGTTATGAAACCCGTTAATCCATCGGTCGACTGATATAACCAATGGGTAAGCTCCATTGTCAGATAAGCCACCTCAAATCGTGTGGGTAGACAGTTTGATTATTTTGGAAGATTGCCTTCAATAGAAATATAGATATAGATAGACTTCTATAATTCCTGGTTCAAATTGATCTTCAAAATATATTCTGTACGTAAGTTTTGAGATCTCCTTAACGAATGTAATAATCTTGACGAATTAATGCCGTTTTATTTTACTGGCTTTGTAATTTTAATTCAAAAAACTATTTAGGTATCACATCAATAATCTTCTTTTTTTTAAAGTCGCTTTCTTTCTTTTTGCTTCAATAGAATTTCACCTGTATCGTGAGTGTGCTTACATATAAATTCACATACACAAACCACCCAGACACAAAACAACAATTTGTGGATTACACAAAGTGTTGTTTTGTTGTTGTTGTTGAAATCGTACCCACGACACATTGCACAGCAGCCACTACGCCAACCGTACAGTCAAATCAATTCATTAACTAAACGAATTACCTACCTACCAATATTTGAAATCTATCATATTTTCTTAAAGAACCCATTCTGGTCTACTTTCGTATATATAATATAATATCTAATAATTCCTATTTAAAACCGAGCCAAGAATGGTGCTGTTTGCAGATGATACATCATTAATTTTTAGAATAGGTCGACGTGTTAATAATTTTGACGAAGTAAACAGATCCATTCATCAAATTCATAATTGGTTTACAGTCAATAATTTAGCACTTAACGAGAAAAAAACAAAATGTATTAAATTTAGCTTGCCCAACGTACACAGTAATGATTGTGACATAATTTTAAATGGGCAAAAGTTAGAATTTGTTAACGAGACTATGTTCCTAGGTATTACGCTAGACAATAAACTTCAATGGGGTTCCCACATAAAGACGCTTTCGGGAAGACTGAGCTCAGCTGCTTTTGCAGTTAGACAGATTAGACAGCTCACAGACGTGAACACAGCAAGGCTTGTTTATTTTAGCTATTTTCACAGTATTATGTCGTACGGAATTTTGCTGTGGGGTCGAGCTGCGGAAGTAGATTCAATATTTATTTTGCAAAAGCGGGCTATCCGAGCGATATATAACTTGCCCCCTCGTGAATCTCTGAGAGAACTATTTAAAACGATAAATATCCTAACGGTACCTTGTCAGTTTATATATGAAAACATTATGTACGTAAGGAAAAATTTGCAATTATTTGAAAAAAGAAGCGATAGACACAATTTTAATACTAGAGGCAAAGATAGGCTGGCTGTGCCACGATTCCGTCTGTCCAAAGTACAGAAATCCTTTATGGGGTTCTGTGTAAATTGTTACAATAAAATTCCAAGAAGTGTATTAAATCTTAATGAACGAAAATTTAAAACTTATATTAAACGCGAATTATGTAGACAGGCATACTACAAACTTTCAGATTATATTGAGGACAAGAATGCCTGGCATCATGTTGGTTCGGCTCCACTGGACAATACTCAAATATGTAGTCAGTAGTTATTGAAATTCTCAAAATTAATGAATGAGACCTTGAATGAGTTTATATAGAAGCATTCTTTTGGATTGTGAGTATATGTGAGCGTCATGTTTATATTTTTTTTAAAAGAGTAACGATGGGGTTTCTTGCTCGTTCTTCTGCATTCGAAACTACAATTTGGAACGAGCACCTAGCTTCACTGACGAACAGACTGACAGACTACTATTCTATTTTGACGTTTCAAAAGTACCTATTTATGGTTTATTTGGAATAAATGATTTTGATTTGATTTGATTTGATTGATTCGACAAACAATACCATTTTCACCATTATTTTATGTTTCGCCGTCCCCTAACTACGCATGAAAATAGCTTTTCAGTCTTTAATTTCATATTTGAGAAGAAAATTTTCTCACCTTCAATTGCAGTCGTTACGACCGCCAGGACGGCCAACGTCGCCAGTATCGCTCTCATTTTGAACCTTAAAACAACAGAAATAAGAATACGAATTAATATTTATTGAAATTAAAAACAACAGATCTTAAAAAATAATCACCTGAACTTATAAACACGAATGGTAATGTAATGTTCAACTTAATTCGATAATTAATAGTACCTATAAACAGTCTTATAGTACCTACAACGTAGTGAATACGTACATAAAGTTATAAAATATCTACATACTAAGTATATTGAAAAAACCGACGTACACACGTGAATTAACTAAGTAAAGCTCTACAGATTTCAAGTCACATCGGGACTCTTATTCACGAGCTGCGTGCGCGTCGCTGCGACGTCGCGCCCCTGACTGACCGTTGCGATTTAACTAGTAAAGCTTTTCTCAGTTAATTCAGGTTAATAGGAATTCTCCATTGGAATCCACACTTTGGAACTTCACTAAGAAGACTGACCGGCAGACTAACAGTATAACTTAAAAATTTTGTTTGACGTTCAAGTGCCTGTAAGGGTTTAATTGGAATAAATGATTTTTGTCTTTTTGATAAGTGAATTTATTATATGTCTATAACAAACATAAACTTTCAAGAATAATAGGACAACATGACCTAGACTACCTATTATTAGGGTAAAACAAATTTTATTATACTGAAATGGTTATGCCAAAGCGTATTAAAAAAGAGAACCCATTATCAATAGTAGTGCAATATCTGGAATTGAGGTCGGTGTGAAGCGTTACTCCCACATCCATTACATGAGACTCTTAGGATCACGTATGATAGGATTAGCATTACTCATTAGATGCATTAAATACATATACACTGCAACTCCTAACTACGTTTTAATAGCTCAAATTACCTAATATTAATTTTGGCTTAAACTTTATGTTCATTTTCGAAATATCATTTTAAAATCCTTAAAATTAGTTGTGCTATAAATCAAAACCCCAATCAAATTAGAAAAAATCTATATCTATATCTATACTAATATTATAAAGAGGTAAAATTTGTAAGTTTGTATGTAGGAACTTTGGGACCGCTGGTCGGATTTCCAAAATTCTTTCACTGATAGATAGCTACATGTTCCTGAGTGCTATAGGCTATAAAACATCACGCTACGAGTAAATGGAGCCAAACAGCGGGTGAAACCGCGTGAGAGTTGCTAGTTGTTAATATCAAAACAAATGAATTTTGATGCAAAACGATGATACAACTTAAACAAGTTTCTTCAATTTACATTACGTATTACGAACAGCTTCCCTATTACATATCTGCGAAGTAAATTAATTGTCCTGCACTATCTTTATTACACATTTCGTGGCAAATCAAGCTTTCTACAATCGATTTGCAACTGTATTATTTTATCAATAAGATTGAACTTCCCTACTTCCTAAGTACCATTCAGTATGCAGGATATAACGGGTTGAACTGAGTGATATCGGTTCCACATTCCTTCTTCGATGCGCTTATCAATAACATGCATAAATGCATAAGCGCGGGAGTTTCTTCCTTGGGTAAGAAATAAAGATGGCCGACCGATATGATGCTTTCGATTACACTAACTTCTACGAATACGTATAATAAAAAAATGGATATTCTAAATTTAAAAATCTTCGATAATCGACGATTTTTATTTTTAATAAAGTTGATAAGTATGTAAGCCAAACTTCTGCCAGCGACTTCGACGCAGTATCACGGTATGTTATTCCAAACTCAAATCTAACCACGTGCCTAATTTCGTTCAAATTCGTTCAGTAGTTTTTACGTGAAAGAATAGGAAACATCCATACATACTTACAAATTTTCGCTTTGATAATACTAGCAGAATTTATTTTAAACAGTACGTAATCAGAATTGAATACCAGGACATGATAATGTATGTATTGCTTTAATACCATATAGACATAATAATACTTACAATTGATAACAATGCATATACCTACTATAAATGCAAGGATCTCTGTATACTCCTTAAAGAAACCAACATACAGGATATTCACGAAATATTATGATAATAAATCTCATAATAATGTAATCTTTATTACCTACACGTTTGGGGCTGTCGACATGGTTGTTAAGTCTTGTCACTTAAAATGTTCGTTCAGGCTTTTTATGCGTCTACGCTTGATAGATGGTTGTTACATCTAAAATATAAGCTATATAATATATCGCGATGATGTACCAGGACAGTGGTTTGAAATAAGAAAAGAAATAGGGTGGTTTTGAGTCTAGAAAATTCTGAGATTCGCTCTCACACAACTATCGCATAACAATTCAATTATTATTGTGTTTGTTATAGCCCGGAGAAGGTTTTTATGAAGTAAAATAAAGGGATATAACTACCTTTATCTGTCTCTACGGAGGACTCCCGTAGGAAGCAGGGGCAGGCCGATAGTAGAAACATTATACTTCATCTTAGAATTATCATAACCATATTAGCCAAGATTTCATTACGGAACTATGAACATGTCCTGTTTCGAGATCGGCTGGTTAGAAACAACTTGCCAATCTAATCATTAGACTATCTTGTCTCAGCATAAACGAATAATAATCATTTGTTTTTTTTTACATTACTGACCATTGAAACTCGACAAAGCCAGCATCTACCCGATGATGTCCGAAAAGAGAATAACTTTGGCCACAAAAAAGAACTAAAATACATATAGCCTTTTTTGTGAGTGGAAAAGCATCAAATGACTTTTCCCGCTCAGGGTGGTGCGAGTGGAGGGCCAGACTCTTACTGACTAAAAACCTTCCCGTCCCTCTCCTGCTCTAGGCCGAGGCCACCCGCGAAGCTTTATTTTATCAGGGGAAAATCATCAAATAACTTCTCCCGCCCAGGGTTAGGCGAGAGAGAGTGTCAGACTCTTACTGACTAAAAAACCCCCCGTTGCTTCTCCTGCTCTGGGCCGAGGCTGCGGTGACTGCGGTGACCCGCGTGGCTTGTATCAGTTAAATCGATTCACATGTGTGTAAAGTACAAGTTTGACCTCACATGACATTGAGTAAATATAAAAATTATTGCAGAAAATGTCAAACGAAAATCAATGACTCATTGTCAAATGTGTATACACGTTTTACTTGTTTTAAACCAAAACCCAAACAGGATTTTATATTTAATTAGCAGGTATGAGAACTCGTATTCGAGGGAAATGCAATTCGAAATTTTTATGTTTACTTACGGTGACATTAACAATCGAATACTTTGTAGACATATACATATATTTTGTACATATGTACAAATCAATTGAACAAATAATTAAATTTCAAAATAATAAAGTTAATTTCAAAATAATATAGTTTAACATTCATTAAATAAAGAAACATTGTGATAATTTCGCGTCTTTATGAATTTACTCTAGACACACATAACCGATCTCAATCCAAGTAATAATAATTAAGGAATCACACACAAGTAAATAGTAGAAGACATGTCAAGTAAATGAACTCTCCTAACATCTACATATATTATGGATATCCGTGTTACTGAAATGAGAAACCGTTTATCCTAGCCATGTCAATAATAGACAGGTAAGTGCATAAACAATGTTATTGGTAAGAGAGCTCAGTTGAGCTGCGTGTGCGCCGATCTAAGTACCGATACCACGTCTAACGGTACCCCCGCTCTAGATGTGTCACCCACTGACCCAAACCTCTCATTGTAATAAACTAGGCTTCTTATAATACCCACTTAACAATTCACAATAGAATGCCACATTGAGCGCACTTCTTCGATTTTTTTGCTAACTATCACCCGATTGTGAATGAAAGTAAAAGTTGTCACGTCTAGTACGTTTTTGTGTTAACAGATTGTTCTAGAAATGTGTTTTGGTGGTGTGGTAAAATGAAAATGAGTTTTGAAGAATGAATAAGGTATTTGGGTACTGTTATGATGCATTAGGGCAGATTCAAATGGGACCCAATAAGGCCAATTTTCAGCCGGGGCTGTGGGGCAAGCGCTATAAGATACGGCGCGGTGGCTTAGTCAGTAATAGTTTGACGCTCTCTCTTGCGTCATCCAGGACGAGATAATCCATTTGATGAATTACCCCCCTCAAAAATAGGTTTAATGCATTGATATAATGATAACCGACACAAAAACAATCTTTATTAAACTAGATTCTTTGAGAAAAACTCAATTGAAAAAGGTTCTCTTCTAAAGCTTAAACAAAAAACGTACAATTCTTCGAACCGTTTCTAGCGATTAAAGTATCGCTAGACAATGACTAGCTAAACCTTCTAATAGCTTAGCGGAAAATGACTTTCCCACTCACTTAGAGTTCAAATCTGTTTGATTGTTTGCAACAATACAATAGTCGATGAACGCTTTTTAAGCCGCTGAGCGATCCTAGAGGATTTTTTGAAAGCTCTATGCTCTTAATTAAAAGGAATATGAGATCATAAATAATGTTGAAATAAATATAACCTATACCTTTTATTTCAGAAAGTAAAATCATTCATTTTTTTTATAAACACGTTGCAATTTCACATACGAGTACACATGACACCCAGACCCGGAACAACAATTTGTGGATCACACAAAGAGTTGTTCCGTGCGGGAATCGAACCCGCGACACGTTGCACGGCAGCCAGTTGCCCAGCCACCGCACCAACCGTGCAGTCAATAATTACTTCTCCCGTCCTGGGTATGGCGAGAGAGTGTCAGACTTTTACTGACTAAAAAACACCCCGATGCTTCTCCTGCTCCGTCCCGGAACCGTGGTAGATATATTATTGCTTGTACTCGCGACCTCGGTAAATATTACACCTAACGACTGGGACTAATTTATGACTATTAAGCCGAAAACATAATAATCAAACTAAGTATGTCTCAAGATAGTTACTATTCAATAAATAATTCTTACACAATATCTCCTGAAGTTATTTGCCATGGGTATGGTGCAATGAACGAAAGGGCATAAACAGCGCAAGACCTTGATATTATTTGAGAATCCTAAATACAAACTAACACAACAAGATTAATAATTCGATATTTTACACCAAGTAAATTTCAATACTTTTATTG